AAGGCTCGGGCCGAGATGCTTCATCATCATCATCATCATCATCATCATCTTGCATCTCAGCAAGCTCGGGACAGGTCCTCCTTGCGCTCTTCCCAGCACTGGAAAGCACCAGTTCTGTCGAACTTGTCGCCTCAGTCGCTGACCAAGCACTGCTTCAAGCGAGGTCTTGGGCTTGGGGAAGTTCAGATGTGAGCCGTCCATGTTGGCTGTTGGAGGCCAAACCATGTTCAGCCAAGACATACCAAGACAAATGGCCTAAGCATACACTTACGCAGTGCATTCTGCAAAGCTGCTCGGTGTGCCAAAGTCTCACTTCTTGGCGGTGTCGCGCAGTACAGTCATAAGTTCGTGACAGATCGCGGCAGCTGTTCCAGCCCCCCCCCCCCCACCGCCCAGTACCGGAAGATCAACCTGCGCTTTAAGCCTCGGCCGTGCGGTACCTTCCCCATCTCACAGCTTCAAGTTCTGACAGGCATCCAAGCTTGCTGACGATGTCCTCCCGAAGCTCAACGGCACCGGGCAAGGGAGGAAAGTCCAGACCGAAGACCTGCCAGAATCGGCTTCCCGCGGATTTTAGCTCTTAAGGCCTTAAGGCTTTGACTCCTAGACTCTTTCCGGAGGCTCGTGAGTCTCTATGCTGGGATGGAGGAATTCTGCAGACCTCAACCTGTTCTACATTCCTTCTCGCTTGGGGTGGAGTCTCGGGCCTACGATTGACAGCGAAACGGCCTGTGGGCTTCGAGAAGTCAGATGTCGCAGTTCCACAAAGGCTCATACATCAAGGGAATTTTCACGTGGGTAGTTCGTGGGTGGGTAGTGTGTTTTGCCGGCATATAGGCCGCAGGTACTGCTTGCCTACGGCTTCCAAGGTTTTTGTATAGACGGCTCAAGGAAGTCCTATGTAAGCACTAGAGGGGCTTGGCTCGTGCAGCCTATGTAAGCGTTCATGACAGGCTAAAGGCCACAAGGGAACAAGATCTGGTTTTGCCGCGTGCCAGCACATACCAGCAACAGTGGGGGTCATCGAAAATGCAAGCACCACGAAAACAAGGGCTGTGCAAGTGCCTTGCAAAGCCTATATCAGGGCTGTAAGGAGTATGTAAGGCCTTATAAGTGCCATGTAAGGCTCATTTAAGGGCTATATAAGGGCTATGTAAGGGCTATGTAAGGGCCATGTAAGGCTCATTGGCTATGTAAGGGCAATGTAAGGGCCATGTAAGGGCTTTGCGGGGTGCCCGTCCTGGTCTCTAGCATTGGTTGCAGGGCCCTCGAGTCGATGAATTCCAGTCCCCTAAACCCTAAACCCTGAACTCAAAAACCGTAAATCAAATCCGGGAGGAGCTCCCACCAACCACCCCCACTCACCCCCGGCTCCACGCCACCCCACGCCATTGTGACCTTACTTGGACTCCCCACCCCATAACTGCTCACCTGGAAATTCCCTAGAATACAGGCCTTCGTTGCAACGACACCACCTAACAAGGATTTGTGTTTTAACAGCTCATGTGATGTCTTGCCCCGGGAATAAGTCAAGCTGCTCTTGGCAAAGTCCCTCCTCTGAAAGCGTGTACATACTCCAGCGCCCCATCAACCTACTGTATGTCGGGAATATCAATCTTTCAATCTCGTGTCATGCCCACCTCCACGACCAGCGGGTTGGCGACAAAGTCCTCCAGAGGGCAAGGGTTCGATGTGACAAGCTCGTGAGGATTCGCGAAGAATACAACTGGCGCTGCTGGCTCTCCGTTGAAGACTTTGCGCTTTCGGATGAAAACGACATGTCGTAAGAACCTGTCGGGAACTGCAGACCGCGAAGCTCTGCCAAACAGAGCACCCACACCGAACACCTGACACACTTCAAACATCTCAAGCTCTGCAGACCATGAGAACTAAACTTCGATCATTCAGGAAGATGACACGCTCAAGAAGGAAGGCCAAGTCCACAAACAGTTTGTCAACTATTCGGTGGCTCCTCAGGCATCTTGACGACGAAACTCACCTCATGATGCATGTTGTGTATACTGCACGAAGATCGCTGACATTCGTTCATGGCCCCTGCAGATCACGTCAATGTGTGGATCAACCCCAAACAACCACATAGGCGTGAAGATCCAACGAATCCACTAGCAGAAACATGTCGCGACGCCTCCCCCCATGTTGTGAACAGGTTTTTCCATGTACGACCTGGATCTTTGGATTGCTGTCAGTCGTTCTCAACTTTCGCGTTCCCTCGGCCTGCCTCCCGTTGGAGCCGTATCTGGGCACCCATGCGTGAGCGCGTGGCAAACTCTCCAGTGAGCTCTTCCGAGAGTCGGACCTCAAGATCGACAGTTCTTCCAACTGCAGAAACAGATGTAGATAAGAGCACGGCTCAGGGACCCTGGTTGAAAAAAAAGGTGAGATACCATGCAGACCCTTGGCAAACGTCGGCTGGATGCTACAGATTCATATGCAGTCTGGCCAGAGCAATCAGCACGGAAACTTCTAACCGCGTATACCTTCTAGGTCCTAGGTCTTGCAGAATGGCTTTCAGGATGTGAGTGTAAGCCGTGAAGCAACACATATCCAAGAAAAGCAAAGACAGTTGAGACGATTGAGAGGCCACCAGTACTCATCAGTTCACGTCACTTTCGCGGAAGAAGACTACTGGCTTTGTCGGATTTGTCCATGGAACCGCCATTACACATGTGGGCAAACGACATGCAGGGAAACTGCGGCGCCGGGAACTCAAGGCCTTGGAAAACAGAGCGAGGAGGAGTCTCGGTCAAAGTTTTGAAGTTTCCGGAGCTCAGGACCGTCTTGTGCTAAAACCAGTGTACCATATATATATATATATATGTGTGTATGTATGTGTGTATGTATGTGTGTATGTATATGT